GGAAGTTTAGAAAGACAGATAAGGGATTAAAGTTTGTAGTTCTAGAAAGACGGGAAAAGATTTTTAGCATTCTTGTAGTGGTTCTTGGTGGTCGTTATCTTTTGATACGCTTCTGCCTTTTCAGGGAACTTCCGCTGCACTTCCTCTGCTTCAGGCTGTTCTCCCCCCGCGAGCTGGTTGCCCAGCCGGATCTAGGGACCTTGGCGAAAGCCATTCCTAAAGATCACTGCGGGGGGAGGTGCAGCAGGTAGGGTTTTGCTGTTCTTCCCCTGCGCGCTGGTTGCCCAGCCGGACCTAGGGCTGGTTAGCCCTAAAGGTCACTGCAGGGGGAGGTGCAGCATGGTGTGTTATACAAATGTAAGATTTTATTTTTTTAAAGATTTATTTATTTATGCATACAATAACTAGGGTGTGGGCCAGAGGTGCAGGGGGTGAGAGGATTCACCAGAGACGGAGTGGGGAGCAGAACAGGAGGATCTTCTGAAATACACTGCTGAGGAGAGCAGCAAGCGAGAGAGGAGAAGTCTGCTGTGCCATGTGGTCCAACTCCCTGGCCAGGGATCGAACTCATGCTGCAGTGGCTGGTGATAGCTTGATAGTGTTGACTTTAACCCCTGTGCCACCAGGGAGGCCCCAAATGTAAAATTTTATTATGAGATTATGAGCCCACTTTCTACCTCTGTGGATAACTTTATACAGACTTTAAATTTATTTATTGCAGAATCACATTTTATATATTGAAGAATCACAAAACTCCAGAACTTTCTCTTGGTGGTGGCTACACTCTGGTCTCCTGGGGTTCAGAAGTCCTGCCTGTTCACTTCCTTCAGGAGTGATGAATTAAAAGGAAAGCAATCTGAATACCCTCAGGACACTGAATCCTACAAAGCAGGATGATCTCATTCTTGCTGGGCCCTCCCACATTCTGGAATGGGCGGTAGGAAACCCAGGGAGTCAGGGGGGCTGGCGGGTTCTGTAAAGGAAGTGGGTAATAGAGCACAGCTCATACCTGGTCAGGGGGGAGTAGAGTGAGTGATGGTGGGTTAACAGCTACAAAGGGAAGCAGGAGGGGGAGGGAGGAGCTGATTCACTAGGACAACTTGGAGTGACTCAGAATGTCTGCAGAAAATAGCCTGCTCTCCCACATCTGCCTCATTGTCAGGCAATGAGGTGCTTCCTCATTGCACACCCATAGGCCGGGCAAAAGGGAGGAGGAGGAAATGGGATTTTTCAAATCCATGGGCCAATTCAAGCACCTAACACTCTTGTGTTTTTAACCATGTTAGGTATCTTCTTTCAAGTCAGCAGTTATTGAGCACCTACTATATGTCTGGCCCTTCACCTTGCCCTGCAGATGGCTAGTCTGCTGAACACAGGGAAAGATGTCTCTCGGAAATTCCATATTTTCTACTTGGTTACTTCAAAAGCACTCGTGCTGCTGCTGAGTGAGCACTTAGTACAGTCTTGTCCCTCATTGATGGATGATCTTCTACAATGCCCGGGGGCAAGCAGGTGGATGGAGGGTATGGAGCTTATTTCTGGCTGGGTTTGCAGACATCTAGGCCCACTCTCTGGACAGCCCTCCTTGTAAGAATTAGGTGTGTGTATGGGGCCTCCCCGGTGGCGCAGTGGTTGAGCGCTGGGTTGCGAAGCTGCCCGCGGCCTCTGCAGCGCCGGTTCGATCCCCGGCTGCTCCCCGGCCACCGGAGGAGGGTCCCACATGGCGCGCAGACCTCTCCTGCCACCCGCTGCTCCCCTCAGCAGTGTACTTCGGTCCTTCTGCCTGCTCTGCTCCCCGCTCTGGCTCTGGTGAATTCTCCCACCCTCCCGTGCTTCTGACTGTACCCAGTGCATGTATAAACAAAACAAACAAACAAATAAATAAATAAAAAAAGCATGCCTCTATTAAAAAAAAAAAAAAAAAAAAAAAAAGAATTAGGTGTGTGGTGGGGAGAACATGGGACAAAATCTTTTGGAGTCCCACAATTTTGTTGGCTATTCTTTCTTTACCTTTTGCTAGCTCTAGACCTCACTTGATTTCTCTGAATTTCTAACTTCTCACCTATAAAGTGAGTGCAATGATGTTTAAAAGGTTAAGGTAGATTTACCATGCAGTGGTAAAGATTAAATTTCATTGTTTCATATCATTACATGAAAGCGTAAGAGGGTGGTCCCCAGGAAAAGGGGAGGATTCCAGATTCCCTCCACCCAGGGAAGGGTGGAGTTGAGCAGGGAAGAGAAAAAGAAGCTGGAAAAGAGACTAAAGATGGAAGGAGCAGGATGGAGAAACAGGAGACCTGAAGGAGGCACGTGGAGCAGAGACATGTGAAGAAGTTGCACTGGCTTTTTTGGTCATGGACTGGTTGAAAGAGATGTGGGTGAGATATCCATGGGGAGACTACCAATAGCAGCTTTTATCTTGATTTTGATTTTGCTCTTTTCCTCCCAGGCTTGTCTAGTTGTTTCTGACCCTTTTCTATGAGTCCCTGTTGGTAGGTGCTTCAGACTTGAGGCAGGTTTTCACACCATTTTGGGGGCCAACCTGTTTGGCTAGATTTTTACCCATGAAGGGATGGGTAACTTCAGGTGCTTGATTTGGAAACTATATTCTTTGTCTCTTCTGTATCACACACTAATTGTATTAAAGTTCCTTTCCATTAAAGGTTTTATGCTTGTCTTGATGCGGTGAATGGCAGAACCTATTTAGTGCAGGCAGGTTTGGGGGTTCTGGGGTGGCCCTCTCCCTGTCCTGTAACAAAAGTACCTAGCACAGTGATGGCATGAGGCATATGGCTTTTCTTCCCTCAAATCTCTCTATAATTGCAGACTAACCACATCCCACCACTATACTATACAGACCTGAAGTCAGGACTGTATCTGCCTAGAGGACTGTGTCTGTCTAGGTGAGAACTAGGACCCTAATATTGTCTTAGATAATAATCATTGTTAAAATTAGGAGGGCCTCCCCAGTGGCACAATGGGTTGAGCACAGTGCTGAGAAGCTGTCCACAGCCTCTGCAGCACACATTCGTTTCCCAGACAGCCAGGGAGATTCCCACATGGCCTGGCAGACCTCTCCTGTCTTGCCCACTGCTCCCCTCAGCAGTGCTTTCAGTCTGTCTGCCTGTCCTGCTCCCCACTCTGTCTCTGGTGAATCCTCTCACCCTCCTGCGCCTCTGACCTGTACCCCAGGTATTGCATAAATAACAAATAAATCTTTAAAAAAATAAATAAAATTAGGAATAACGTATTTAAAGCTTGTAACACATTGTTTATGCACTATAGCTGTATGATAAGTATTCTATTTTAAATGTGGTTATTATTATCTTAGCCAGTTGAATCAGTCTGCGAGCTGGAGCACAGTCTACCTGACCTGAGTCTAGAACCCTTGACTTCAGGAGGAATGCAAGCAGGGGTGTATGCGCTCCCTCCCTTGGGTTATTTGGTTCTGGAATGGATTGCCTGCAGCAGCAAGGTCTGCATTCTTGTGTTCACTAGCAGGGACAGGCATTTCTCGCACCCTCTACACTGTCCTTTGTTCCAGCTTCGCTGCAAACGCTATTGTTCCACTCTCCAACTGGCCAAGGACACACACACAAAGCCCCCTCATCTCAGTGAGCACCACGTGGAAAAACCTTGACACCCAAATTTTCAATTATTCCAATTTTCTCAAGAGGGCAGGTCGGTCTGGGTACTGCTCCCCGGGTGCCACCCGGTGTCCCCAGGGGCTCCAGAGCCGCTCTTCGCCTCCTGCGCGCACCGTGAACAAGAAGGGAGTCTGGGGGCCCCCCTCTGCGCCCCAGTGCCTCGGGCACCACACCCGCAGCGCCCCAGAAAGAGCAGGGAAGCCACGTTCTACCTGCCTTCCACGCTGACTCTAAGCTAGACACCAATTTATTTCTTCCCGAACACCACCGCGGATGGAGTGAAATGTCAACGTGCCCACCCATCAGCGCGGCCCCCCGAAGCCCGCCCCGCGGGGAAAGCGCGACGCGCCCGCCGGGTCCAGCCCAGACCCCGCGCAAGACGGGGACAGCGGCGGGCGGCTGGGTGGGGGGGGCGGGAGGGAGCTTCCCGGCGGAAGTGACGCGCGCCCATCCCCGCTCGGCTCTCCCCAAACAAAAGGGATCTTGGGGCCCCGGGAGGAGCCTGAATGACATTGGAGAAGCCCCACCCCCCGCCGGCGCGGATTGGCGCAGGCGCTGGGCAGGCGCGGTGGCGATTGGCCCTGGGGAGTGCCCATCTCGCCGCGGCGGCGGGGGCGGGGCCGCGCGGGGCCGGGGATGCGCGGGCGGCGGAGGCGGCGGGCGGCGGGAGCGGACCCGGAGCCGGGAGAGGTAGGAGCCGCGGGGCGGGTGGGCGCTGGCCCGAGGCCGGTGCGCGAGGGACAGCGAGGGCAGAGCCGGCGCCGTGCCCCGCCGCGGTCCCAGCGGCCCCCCGCGCCCGTCCCTGAGGGGGCGGGGCCGTGTCCGCGCCCCGGGGGTTCCCTGAGGAGGCGGCTCGTCCCGCCGGTCCCCGCTGCCTCGGCGCCCCTCAGTCCCCCGCCCGGCGCGGGCCCTGCCCACCTGACACCCCACTCCCAGGCCCCCGGCCGGCGCCTCCGCCTGGGGGAGGGCCCCCGGGTCCCCATTCCATGGGCTGTCGCCCCCACCCCCATTGTGCACCCCGCGGGGCCAGACACCCCTCCCGACACCTGTCCCTGCTCGCTCGGGGGCGCCGGAGCCGGGTTCCTCGGGAGGTGAAATCGGGGTGTTCCAAAAAAGAGGGATGGGGGCGAGGCAGGAATCAAAGACCCAAGCCAGACAGCCAGGTCCACCCACGGCCCCAGCGGGCCCCCCTTCTTCGGTCCCCCCACCCCACCATCCCATCCCCATCCCCACCCCCACCCCCAGTCCGCAGCCTCGTCCCTGCAGCCCCTCAGAGCTGTTCTGTTGGGGGGCCTGGAACTGCCCTACTTCAGATGCTTTTAAGCTGGAGGAAGGAGAAATAGTTGCTCTCTTCACCCCACCCCCCCAATACCCATTGTACCCCCACTCTGTTCTTTGGGGGAGAAACCAACTTGTAAGGGTTTTTCAGATCTGAGTTGCTTTTCATTTTTGCTTTTGTTTCTTGCCCGAAACTTGATGGAAAACCATCCTTTTTGTATTTTGCAGTGAGGTGGGTGTGTTGGCTCTCTGCAGAGTTGACCTGTGTGGGTTGGAATGCCTGTATATTGTTTGACTGTCTGTGAATAACAGCATTTTTCAGATGAAGTGGTATAGATAAGTAAAGAAAGGACCTTAGATTAGGAATGAGTGCCTCCCGGTCTAGGGTGCGCTGGTCTGCTGCTCAGAGAGACTGCAGTTAACCTTGAAGGTACAGTTCTGTTGAAACAAAAGACAGGAAAGGAAGTGTTTGAAGAAAATCCAGGATCCGTTGTTGTCTAGGTTTATGATTAATCTGGTCCTGTGGCCTTTGATTGCTCGCAGGCCTTGATTTGCTCTTCCCGGAGAAGCTGATGCTTATAGGATGTTGTCGGTTGGTATTAAAAGATCAACCTCATCTATCAAAATTTAGGGGATGAAAAGTAAGGACAAGTTTTGAACCTCAGAGATAAGGATGAATAAAAGCAAGGTTAACTCCAGCTGTTCACACGTGTGAGTACCACAGTGTCTCTAGAGTGTGCGCACAAAGACTTTGTCCAGTTGGCCTTCGTTTCAGCAACAACAAAATATTGATGACTTTGCCCTGATATCAATGACATTGAATCCCCAGTGATCATCTGTTGTTAGCACTTCCATATATTAAAATTCGCCAAGTGTTTTAGCTTTGTTTCTTTGGTTTTCAACCTGAAGAGTGTCTTGCTGCTGTTAGCTGTGGATAGCTGCAAGGGGTTAGAATCACAGAGGGCAGTTGGAATAGCTGTTGTCTTTTACCTTCCTGATTAGACTTCCTGTAGGTGGTTGCTTTTGAATAGTTGAACTCAGAAGTTTTCAGAGCCATTCTTGCTGCTTACAGATCTGCTCAGTGATTGTTTCCAGAGCTCCTATAAAAAGCACAAAGAAGAAACTGTGTGGAGGGTCTCCGCAGCAAACACAAAGTGTATTGCCATAGGAGGGTAAAACATGGGCCCCAGCAATAGCAGCAGAAAAAAACTAAAAGCAGAACAGGAAATCCCAAGAAGATATATCTTATTACATGAGTGAGGAATAGAAAATAAAACAAGGTAAGAGACTATGGAAACCAAAGTGCCAGGACCTTACTGAGCAGAGAGGAAAAACCAAATACTGCTCTTTGATTACTTGGCGCAGTAAGCAAGGCACACGTTTGGGTCTTGGAAATCTTTCCTCTAACTTTTTCAACACCTGTTTGGTCATCTTACATGAATAAAACATTGTCTACAGAGCATGTTTTATCTTAATATTCTAGTCTAGCTCATTAAATTATATAAATTTAATTAAATTCCATGGGAGCAGGTAGTAACCCCACTGTATAGTTTGACTTAATGGGTGTATGTTAAATTTAGTTTGAAGCTATCATCTTAGGATAGATTAGAAAGATAATGTATGGATAAGACATAGCATATCTTGTTAGTATAAACAGTCTTCTTTCTGTTTTGATTTTACCTTATTTTCCCTATCTGATAGCTAAAACTCCAATATCTTAAATGACTGAAATATTTAATTTACTATCAGAAAAGTATCTGCTGGTTAGACATGTAATTTTGCTATAATGAAATTTAAACCAGACTTATAAATGTTATCAGTGCTAGTCATTTTAGGATTTAATTTTTCTAAGAATCTGACCCTGATAGGAATGAAGTGAATGTAGAAGAACACACTAGAAACTTCTAGATTGTTTGCTATTTTCTGTTTAAGAGTGGTTTCTAAGTGTTTCGTTTTAACAAGTTACTGATCTACTTTGGGATTTTCTTTAATAAACTTTTGGTTGAGTTTGTGCTTTTCTAAACTAGCAATAAATTCATAAACGGGCACGAACAGCGTTGGGTCCTGAATGGAATCATACAGACTGAGTACAGTGGGCATAATGTGCTTCATCCACGATAGATTTGTGTCTTGGCAGAATTAGGTTTGCAGTGCTACCAGTTAATTTGCAGAACAGGATTGGAATTTTTGGCTTTTTTGAATAGAGCAGGAGGTGTTTCTAGGGGTTGCCACTGAACAAGTATTTGGTGGTATGAGTTGAGAAGTAGAGATTTATTTTAGAGGAAATCTGCCCATCTGTGGTGATTGACCCTAGAAATGGCTTGTCAGCCTATTTCTAAGGCCCATTTTTTCTTATTTCCTGAATTTTTGCTTCTAATAACTAAAAGTCAAGTCTCCCAAGTTTTAGTTCAAAGCCTTTCAGTGAGAAAATGGCCTATTTGTCGTGTGGTAATTTACAGCACAGGCTTTACAAGCAAACCTTGGTTTGTTCTCCAGGGCAAGAGCAATATTCTGTCTTCATCATGTTCTAGTTTCCTCAGTTGTGACATAGAAAAAACTTTTAGAGTTTTTGTGTCTAAGGATTATATGAACTAATCTATATCTAAATCACAAAACAAGGTACCTAGCTTGTAAGAAATAACTGATAATGTGTAGGTCTGCTGCCACAAATATTAGCAGCTGTGCATATGAATTTTAAAAGTATCCATTTCAAGTTATTGGTTTGTTTTGTTTTACATTTATCAATGGAGCTAAGAATTTTTTTTTTTTTAAGATTTATTTATTTGTTTATACAAGTACTGGGTATAGTCAGAAGCGCGGGAGGGCGAGAGAATTCACCAGAGCCAGAGCAGGGAGCAGAGCAGGCAGAAGGACCGAAGTATACTGCTGAGGGGAGCAGCGGGCGGCAGGAGAGGTCTGCGCACCATGCGGGACCCTCCTCTGGTGGCCTGGGAGCAGCCGGGGTTCGAACTGGCGCTACAGAGGCTGCGGGCAGCTTTGCAACCCAGCGCTCAACCGCTGCGCCACCAGGGAGGCCCTAGAGCTAAGATTCTTAAGTTGAGAGGAGCAAAGCTTGCTTATGTCCTGCCCTCAGACACCTGATAGAGTGATTTCTTAAGAGACCATGTGTTCTGTCTTATAGTGTGTTTTGTAATGTCATGCAAATCATCTTTCTTGAATTTTTTGACTGAAAAAAAAGACAAGGGACTCAACCATCTGATGCCTTCTTTCTAAATTACCAGTTGCTCCACTCCAAACTCCACTATCTTAAGTACCTCCATCCTGAGTGTGATATAAATGGTTTTGAGGCATTAAGACTATTAAAAGTGATTTTTGTGTTTTAAAGACAACTCTCCTACTACTCCAAAAATAAGGAGCAATCATAGGAACAATATAAATGGGTAAGATGAAGCCCTGTGCAGGGAGTTAGGATTGGAGCTGGGGTTGTCGAAAACAGGGGTTTGTGGGTTGAGGAAAACTGGGCTACAAGCTGGCATTGAAGTAAACAAAGAATGCCATAAATCGTAAATCATTCCTCCCTGCAGCCTACTTCCAAACTCTGTATTTCAGGTACAAAGCCAAAGCTTCCAATCTAAATGTATCTTTTGCTTCTAAATGAATCCTTTCTGACTTCTGGAGTCACAGAGACTATAATCCTTAATTGTTAGCTGAGTTTAAAGAGTATAATCCTTAATTGTTACTGAGTTCGATAGAAACTAGAAAGGAAAATAGAAATGCATGTGACGAAGTTAGAGACAAGACTCCTTCCCTGAGCCTCAGGAAGCATCTGCATAGATCTTCTGTGCAAAGCCGCTGGGAAGACTGGACTCAGGTGTACTCTGGGGTGGCTCAAAGGGAGCGCCCATGAGGAAGAAGCACAGAACAAACAAGAAGGATGTGTTGTTTTAACGAGACGTGCACTGTAAGTTTCAAAGGAAAGGAGAATGAAGGGTAACTGATAGGTAAGTTGTAGGAAAAAGGGGGAAGCACTAGCTTTGGTTTTTTATGGGGAGAGTGGTGCCCCAGTACTTAATTTCTACTGATTAGTACTTTTTTGTCACAGCCCATTTTACATGAGTAACAACAGAACCAATCTGGTTTTTAACTGATTAATACTTGAGGCTACCAAAATGATCTGATCATTCCCTCTTGTTCTTAAACTGAAGGCACAGAAGAAATTTTCTGAAAAGGCTGTAAAGACTTTAAGACTTTGGGAGTCTAAAGACTCCTTAACCTTTTGCCATCACCATGCCGACTGACTCTCGACATGTTCCTCTTAGGGGTTTAATTACTTCTCATTCAGCATGTCTCACGTCACAGTCATTATTTCCCCCCGAAAATCAGTTCCTTTTCTAACATCCCTGTTTCTGTTAATGGCATCTCCATTCTGGTCCATCTTAAATCCCCAGCTGGTCTGGGATGATTTCCCCCTTACTGAATGGAACGATTACCAAGTTACTGTAAGTTCCTTCTAAAGTCTCTTCCATTAGTCATTTTTTTTTCCATTCTTCTTGCCACCATGCTAGTTCACACTTACTGCCTCCTGCCTCTACTGTTCAAGTTTGCTTCCAACTGCCCGCCCCTTCTGCTTCCAGTTTCTCTACAGTCACATCAGTTCTGTAGTGCTGGCTTAACCTTCCTAAAACGGTGCTTTCATTACGATACTCGCCTCTTTAAAATGTTTAATGGCTTCTCATTTCCTAAAAGATAAAGTCCAGTTTTGTTGGCTGTAATTTAAGGAAGCCACTTTCTTTGAGCATCCCTTTGAACCAGACTGCTTGGGTGGCGCTAAATTTAATCAAGTTGAGTAAGAGAGTATTTGTCAGCAGGAGCTCAGAGTCTTGTGAGAGAGAACACAGAAATGTAAACAGATGAACTGATACATCAGAACATGTTTCTGCTCCTGGGTTTTGAATGTAAATACATATCCATTATGCATTTAATAGAGCACAAAAAATAACTGATGTTTTTAAAAAAAATCATTTCTCAGTCTTGATTAAAAGCTTTAGAATACTCCGTCGAAGCAAAGGCATACTTACACTTGTCTGCTAAAGTCGCAGAAAGCTGGTGTAGGCAGAAGAATGTCCTCCTGTTGGCCCAAGTAACCTGCAGGTGTTGAAGCCTGAGCAGCTCTGTCCCTAAGCCAGCTTTCCCAGCACCGGCCAGGCCATCTCCTCCTTGGGGCAGGTTGGCCTGTCAAGTCAGAAGAAGTGCATGTGTTTTCATTTCTAAATTAGACATGTGAATGATAACTCATGACAACTCAAGAAAATGTCAATTTGTTGGAAAAAGGAAAATGTCGTTATCCAAGCAGAGGAAGCCAAACGTGTTCTCCAGGGAGAAGTAGGAAAGCCAGCCAGTCACCTACTCATTTAAACTGCACAGAGGCTTCCATGAAATTTTTGTAGTTCAAGGAGAGTAAGTTATGGGCTATGCTGAGACACAGCTGCTCTGGTCTTCTGGGGAGTCTCCTCCACCCAGATAGAATCAAGGGCTTCATTCTACATTAACACTTTGAAGGTTTTTTTTTTTTAAGGATTTACTTATTTATGTATACAAGAGCTGGGGTACAGGCCAGAGGTGTGTGTGGGGGAGTAAGAGGATTCACCAGAGTGGGGAACAGAACAGGTAGACTGACTGAAATATACTGCTGAGGAGAACAGTGGGCAAGTCAGGAGGGGTCTGCTGCGCCATGTGGGTAGCTCCCTGGCCAGGGATCGAACTCGTGCTGCAGAGGTTGCGGATAGCTTCATAGGTTGTGTCTTAACCCCTTGCACCACAAGGGAGGCCCAACGCTTGAAGGGTTTTTATATCCCAAGCTGCCTATAGAATTATGGTCCAGTAATCATTTTATAGGATATACAATGTATATGTCATTGTTCCCTCATTGTGGTATTTTACAAATCATGGAAAAGCAATAATTTAGGGGGAGGATGGACAGATAAGATGATCAATAACATGTTTCAGTGAAATTATGTTAATATTTCATTTAAAGTGAATAAATTAGCCCACTGACAAAATACTTGCAATAGTTCATACTTCTGATAATTTTCTGACATTAAAAGGTGTCTTTGCCTATTTTAATAAAAAATATTAATGTAAGAACTGTCATTCGTTTTCATTAACAGACATTCCAGTTGCTTAACTAGTGTAGTTCTGGTTTGGTCTTGACTCAGATGAAAATACTTGAAAGGGTGTAAACAGATAGCCGAGTAGACAGACCTGTTTTTAATAGCGCTGTGCTAAATGTCCTCATTTTGGGGGAGAGATGTTTGAATGTTTGTTTGTGGGCATGAGGCAACTTCCTCCTTCTCTCCAGTATGCATATAAATCTTGTCAAGACAGAGGAGAGACAATGAGAGAAACAGGAATATACACCTAATGAGAGACACACCACACATACACAGACACACCAGAGGTGCTGGAGTCTTGTTTGAGCTAAACAAAACAAAAACCTGATACCCATCACAGTGTCCAGGAAAGTGGATTAGACATCTTAAAAAGACATGAGTTTTACTACTTAACTATTTAACCGTGCTTTTCAGTAGTGCACACAACTCTGGCCTCAGTTTTCCTCTGTAAAATGATTTCTGGAGTCCCTTTCAGCTTTGGACTCACATTTTTAGCTGAGATTTTTTCCCCATGCAATCCCAAAGGCTGATAAAATGAGATCAGATGGAAACAGTAGTTACTAAGGAAGCTTTTGAAGTCATTACCTGGACTCAAATCCATTTCTGCTAAATACTAGCTGTGAGATTTGCAGCAAGTTATTCTGCCTCTCTGCCTTAGTTTTCCCATCTGTAAAGTGTGTGTGTGGGGGGGGTGATGCTTTGCTGTTGTTATCTCAAAATAATTTAATTATCAGGAAAATGGGGACAAGGATAATGATGAAGTCATTGGTAATGGTTATGGCATTTCTCACCTAAGGTGGTGAGAATTTAATTAATACATGTTCACTGCCTGGAACATCAATGAATTTCGCCTTTTCCATTATTACTTTTATTGCTTGAATTCTTAGAAAAGTATGCCATAAAACTGAGGTGGTGGTATGTTGATAAGATCAGTTATCTCATTATTTCTATAACTAAACAAATTCAGAACATCTGGTATGCTGGAATCTGCCTTGAGTGGAGTACTATTTGACTAGATTCCTGGATGTATATGAAGGGTTGACTTTATTTTTTTTTTTTTTTTTTTTTTTTTTATAGAGGCATGCTTTATTTTATTTTATTTTACTGTTTGTACATGCACTGGGTACAGTCTGCCTGCTGAGTGGATGTACTCCTGTGGTGCAGATAGAGGTCACGGGCAGCTTCGCAACCCAGCGCTCAACCGCTGCGCCACCGGGGAGGCCCTGAAGGGTTGACTTTAAAGAGTACTAGCTTTATTATAGAACTGCTTTCTTGAGATCTCTTTCTAAAGTCTGTAATTGACAGTAGTAGATAAACAGGTACCTCCATCCATTTGCACTATTGTAATTTCTTTGTGCTGTATTCATGACATTTCATGACCCTGAAATTTAAAATTTCTGAAACTTCACAATCTTCAAGACTGCTTCAAAACCATGCTCTTCTATATAGCAGGATCTATCGTGTTTGTGTCCAGATTTCCTCTGCTTATAAGGATACCAGTCATATTAGGTCAGGACCCACTAATGACCTCATTTTTACTTAATTGCCTCTTTAAAAAGCCTGTCTTCAAACACAGTCACATTCTGAGGTGTAAGGGATTAGGATTCAACATGTGAATTTTGAGGGGACGTAATAAAATACTATAACATGTAGACACATGAGAATCCTAGTCCAGTAATATCTTTTACTTTCAGCTGAAAGAAGGTTGATTGGACATTTATAGTGAAGTTATATTGTTAAGTATTGTAGAACTCAGAAAAATGAGTTCATTTTTGTACCTTGGTTTTTGAATCTTTATAAATAATGACAAAAAAAAAAACCCTTTTTGTTAAGTGTACAAAAGATCTACTTTCATGATCAGGAAATTATTTTCTAATAGTATTTTATATGTTTTTATTCCCTAACCTAATCCTAAAATGCCAAAGTGGGGTATAGTTTGGAATGTTGTCACGCTTTTACCCCAAATGCATAAACAGCCCTTCTGAAAAACCAGAAGTGCCAGAGAGTAAGGAAACTGGAATCTTTTGAGAGAGTCAAGGTAATGAATCAACACCTTCCACCTGATGTAGGTTGCTTTGAAATACATTTTTTAAATAGCAGTGCACTTTTATCCATAGATTTAGTATTTGTGTGATTTTTTTAATTCCATATGTACTGGTTTTTTTTTTTTTTTTTAAAGATTTATTTATTTATTTCATTTTATTTATTTATACATGCACTGGGTACAGTCAGAAGTGCGGGAGGGTGAGAGAATTCACCAGAGCCAGAGCGGGGAGCAGAGCAGGCAGAAGGACCGAAGTACACTGCTGAGGGGAGCAGCAGGCGGCAGGAGAGGTCTGCGCGCCATGTGGGACCCTCCTCCAGTGGCCTGGGAGCAGCCTGGGATCGAACCGGCGCTGCAGAGGCTGCGGGCAGCTTCGCAACCCAGCGCTCAACCGCTGCGCCACCGGGGAGGCCCTGTACTGGGTTTTTAAGGAAGTAAATTATGTAGTGGAAAACAGTCAAAAACACCCATTTTATGTCAGAGGTGGCTCTCTGAATTTTAAGAATTAACTGACCTCTTGTATTTTGGTTCTGCTTATATGTATATGAAAGTGTCTTTATGTAATTGGAGCAAATTTGCTTTATATGTTTGCTCATGTCATTACCAATACTAAAAACTTACTGAATGACCTGAAATCACAGTTATAGCCAATAAAAGTGTAAATTTCTTAAATTTAACATCGGAGTGTATAATAAAGAAGTGATTTTTATCCAATTTTGCAAGAGTGATCTTGTGGGTAGCAGTTATTTTTCATAGCTAGTTGATTTTTTAATTTTTGCCAGACTTTTTTTTTTAAGATTTATTTATTCATTTATGCATAGAAGAACTGGGGGGTAAGCCAGAGGTGCGGGGTGGGGGGGTGGCGGGTGAGAGTATTCACCAGAGATAGAGTGGGAAGCAGAACAGGCAGATTGACCGAAGTACACTGCTGAGGGGAGCAACAGGTGAGACAGGAGAGGTCTGCTGTGCCATGTGGGTTAGCTCACCTGCCAGGGATCTAACTCAGGCAGCAGCAGTGATAGTATGACAGCTATCACCCCTAGGCCACCCAAGTTGGAATACTTAGGGCGTCCTTGGGGAGGAGGCCCCCAGGTTGATTTTTAAAAAATATATATGTAGTTTAAAAAATATATATATATGTAGGTTTTTTTTTTTTTTAGTTGTTTCTGTATCAGGAAATATCTAAGACTTATCTGAAAATGGTGCTTACCCTCTTCATATGCTCTATCACCTACCACTTAGAAAGAAATAAAGCCTTTAGTTCTATATGCGTAAGACATACACACCCCAGATACGAGATAGACAGGTACCTTGTTTGTACCCCACCCTGCCCTACTGCCTACATAGTTACAGAAGCTGTTTGGGGTGTTTCTTTTTCTGCCACCTAATCTTTATGTGGCAAAAGGCAACAATGCCTTCTGTCATGTACAATTTATTTAGAGTTCCAGATTCTAGAACTTAAGAAGGAAAAGGCACAACCAGAAACAGAATGAGTGGAACTTGAGTATTACCAGAGAAGGAAAAAGGTTGGAATAAAATGGATAGAACCCAGCCCGCAGCCACAGACTTCCTAGGCAGAATCAATAGGGCCATTTAGGAGTTGGGGGAGGTGCCCTTCTTGATACTCGTAACTCTTGTGACTGTTGGTTGGCACACGAAAGTTTCTTTTAGGAAAGACTTATTCTATCCTGGTCGTTGGCACTGGCTGGCCTGCCTTGGTAGGAAGTGGCATGTAAATAGACAAAAGGTTTGAAATCACTTAGTGACAACCTAAAAATAAATTTTGTACTTAAGTTATAAACAGGCTTATTTTTAAGAGTATAAAACATGAACAATTTTAAATATGTACAAAATTTATTTGTATGCATTTTTAATTGAGAAAATTGTTAAGTTTAATATAGCTACAGCTTGTTATTCCACAGTGTATGATGTGTCCAGACACATTGTCTACAAGTGGTTTTTATTTCAAATTTATAGACTGTAGCATTCCTTAGACAGAAATATCTGTGTCTAAACTCTAAGGAAAGTTGGGTCTTAGAGAGTCTAATAGAAGGAATGAGCTGAGCATCTGGTTGAAATGATCTTGTCTTTCAGAGTTACTTAATGGATGATGACAATGACAAGTAACAGCTCATTTAGAAAATAAGGAGAGAATGAATCTGTAGACTACAGTATGTGCGGCTGAAAATCTGGCAGTCACATTTATGATCAGGAAAATGATGCTAGAAATAGCCTTTTTTTTTTAAATCTTAAGCCACCTAGTTTATATATTGAGCAGAAATTGCTGGAGGAACTTATTTAATGATTTGCCTATGATGGTTCTATATTTTTATTACTACCTGCACAACAAACTCACTTCCTCCCCTAAATGGAGAGATTCCTGAGTAGTTAAATGATTGAGTCTCGGTTGAATGAAACAAGCACTTATTGCAGCAGTGTTTCTCTTTTGACGCTGGCCCTATTTGCCTGTTAGGTTTTAGCTATTCAATAGGTTTTCAGACTTGGTGCCTTAGAATACAAGACAAAAAAAATGTTTCATCAACTAAAATTTAAAACCTATCTTTACGAAAAAGGGTTTTCTGAGTCTTATCCACTGTTGGGAAAACATGAACCAGAATTTGCATGTAATTCAACATTTACTATTTGAAAATAAATGGGGAAAAGTAGAAGTGAGGGAGGAATAATCAGTCTTAGTGATCAGAGTTGAGATGGAGACAGGGTGATTGATTGATTGACTAGCAGGAGATGTAGGGATGAGGATTTCTCTTACATGATTTTGACAGTTTGAAAGTTCAGTTCTAATTATGTATTTTTCTGAGCTCATTGTGCATAAGCCATGGGGATGTGATTCAAGCAAATGGGTTATCACCGATTCAGGTAAAGTCAGCCTCTTGTGACGTTTATAAGTTAGTCCCTGAGAGGCAGCAGGCAAAGTCAAAGAGATTTTGAAAGGCCTCACCTTTCCTGATTATAATTATACAAGGAAAGTCAAATTCCTGGTAATTTTTCTATATTGCTTAGCTTCAAGTTGAAGAAGTGGCTATTTTCTCCTTTCTTGTCTGTATCAACCTACAGCTGTCTGGCCTCATCAGCTCTTGACAGTTGACATTCATGGGATTTGCCAAATTATTTATAGTATGAGCACATAGACAATAAATTTCTTATTATTTTGCAGCCTTGGACACTTTTCCATCATGCTGACGGCATTTTAGATACATTTGTCAATTTTCCCAAATTTTAACTGAAGAAAACCTAAAGAGTTTGAAGATAAAGTGTGACCAACTGGTTATCAGGTCAGTATCACTCCAATCCCCATTTCCACCCCCAGGAATGCCACTGCCATTCTAGAACATAATGCAATTTTTACTAACTTTCATTTATATTTTAGACAACAGTGTATTACAGTTGTGTATTGATTAGATTCAAATGCTGAGTTTTAATATTTGCAGAGAAAGGTTATTGAAATATGCACAGTTGTTAGTTTTGTTATTGTTGTTTTTCTCCTAACATTTCACACCCTTGTTTCATTTATTTTTTTAGACCTTTTGGTTTTTGAATTACACAACTATATCCCATTTTCTCCTCTTGTGCCATATTTGTTATTTACTGTATTCTTTTCATGTAGATACTAAGCTAAATGAATTAGTATATATTATTACAGTGTTGCAGATATAAAAATTGAAAATGGTTTACAGATGTAGAGGTAACAGGAATACTGTTCTTTATGTCATTGACAAAGACTGGAATTTTTTTTTTTTTTTGCTTATGCCAGTCTTCTTTATAATTAAAGTGACTCTAAAGATTGTTTCCATTTTACTTTTACGAGAATGTATTTCACAACAGATCAAGGACTGATTTAGGGACAGTCTCTTAGATTTTTATATATTTACCTCTTTTATTTAATTGGATTCTTTAACAAATAGTTTTACCCACAGAACCTTAGAATGGAACCAAGAAGGATGTCAGAGCTTTTCTAGTTTATTTTATTTTACCTGTGCCAAAGCCATCAGGTAAATTTTTTCTCAAGTCTGTTGGGTGGCAGAGCTGAGCCTGAAATTCTGCTCTCCTCACTTCCATGCTGTTATGTTTTACTCACATCACACAGCTTGTTCAAGCCACAGTTTTAGATACCTAAATAAGAATATTTAAGGACTATAAAATGCTGAATGAAAACGAATAACATGTGCGAACATACCATGTTAGCTCTACTCCGCCCTCCTAGCTCGGCTTGCTCAGCACAGTCGGCGTTTGTGGAGTCCTTTACTGTGGACTGCTGTTCTGCTTAACATGTTGTGAGGCGAGGAGGGGGCATAAAACACTGGCACTTCCCCTTGCCATATAATCTCTCTGAAAGAGATAAAAACACAAAACCATCAAGGAAAGGGGATAGGGTTTCATCTAAGAAACTGGTAGTTTCTACTCAACTACTTGTTTAAATTCCTCACCATTCTTCACCCCAAGACACTGTCCATTCTTCATTTGTGGGCCCCAGCTGCAAAAGGACAGCTGGAGGTGTGTCTGAGGTCCCTGATCTCGACTGTCCCCACTTTGGTACTGCCTTTCTTAGAATTAATTTGGAAAATGAGAGAGGGTAGTAGTTACCGATAATTAAACCTTGTTTAGCCTGTGTCAGGAACTTGGTTGCACCCCTGTGAGTAGAAACCATCCCCCTTTCACAGATAAGAAAACTGAGAATGGGCCTCCCCGGTGGCGCAGCGGTTGAGCGCTGGGTTGCGAAGCTGCCCGCGGCCTCTGCAGCGCCAGTTCGATCCCTGGCTGCTCCCCGGCCACCGGAGGAGGGTCCCACATGGCGCGCAGACCTCTCCTGCCGCCCACTGCTCCCTTCAGCAGTGTACTTCGGTCCTTCTGCCTGCTCTGCTCTGGTGAATTCTCTCACCCTCCCATGCTTCTGACTGTACCCAGTGCTTGCATAAATAAATAAATAAATAAATATTTTTAAAAAAAAGAGAATTGAAGCAATAAAGAATCACTTATAAAAAAAAAAAAGAAAGAAAGAAAACTGAGAATGGGCCTCCCCTCGTAGCGCAGTGGTTGAGCACTGGGCTGTGAAGCGCGACAGACCTCTCCTGCCACGCCCACTGCTCCCCCAGCAGTGTATTTCGTCAGTCTGCCTGCTCTGCTCCCCGCTCTGGCTCTGGTGAATTCTCTCACCCTCCTGCACTTCTGACTGTACCCAGTGCTTGTATAAATAAATAAATAAATCTTTAAAAAAAAAAAAAGAAAGAAAACAGAATAGAAAACTTACCCAAGGTCACATCCACTAAGATGTCCCACAAACTATACATCTTCTAGCTACAGCCATATCTGTGTCTTCCTACTACATCCGTGCACCAGCTGCATCTGTGTGATGCAAAGCCATGCACTCTCTCTAATATACTACCTTATATTGCGTATAACTTTATATCAGGTTTGTTGTTTAGGTATTTTTAGGATAATGATGAGGTAGCTCTCTAATAGTGAAATGTGAGTCACTTAATAGTGGCTAAAATTCTCTAGTTAGAAAGTTAGCAGTTAGAGCTGAAGTTTCATATTGAACTTATTTTACTTTTGGCAAAAGATTTGTACAGCACGTCCTGAGCACAGTAACAGCAGAGTGCAGTGAAGGTTTTCCTCACTGAAAGGCAGTAGCTCTGGGAGGGATCAATGACTCTTTTGTGCGCCTCCTAAAATTTAATGCTCTCATAGAGTTGGGAATTACTAGAGGATGTGTGAACAGGCCGTGTGGTAAACTCACTTGAAAGAAAACTATATGAGCGCAGCAATTTGGAAGTAAAAAGTGGGAGAGGGAAAACAGTATTTGCTCTACTTTGGAAGTCATAAAATGTATCTTACCATACAGGCTGGTCTCTCTTCTATCAATGTGAGGTTTGTGAGAAGTTAATCTATGGAGTTATGCCAAGCAGTTTGCCATTTAACCTATTTCAGAAGATACATGGTCTTCTAGAAATGTGAACTTGTTAAATCAAATTCAATTTGCAGTAGCCAGGCCCATTAAGATGTTTAAACAATATATTTTAAGAAGTCATTCAAAAACATGTAAGTCCATTTTACTACATGAAATATAAATATTGTGATAGATGTACTCTGTGGAGAATTTAAAAAGAAAAATTTCTTCCCTACTCCCACTGAACATTATCTTTGCTTAAATTTCATTTCCCTAACTTCAGAGGGATGCCAGGATGTTTTACATATGGTTTTGGAATTTGATTATTTAAAACTGGGAAATCTTTCCATAGTCTAACAATTTCTAGGGAGCAAATTAATGGCTAAGTCCTTCTGCTACCTTCTAGGATGTCTGAAAATATGCTTGAGGGAAAAATTAATGAAAAAGTGTTTTTTGTGAGTGGTCGTGAAATCAATAATTAAAGTGAATTTTATTTTCCTTAATGCTTGGTTTGTGACTAGCATCAGAAAATTCTTGTTTTCCTATTTAATAGTAATCTGTCCTTTGTTAAAACATTTTATTCCATAGTTGTTGCTCCTCTTTATCTGTCTCACTTTTTCTTTAATAATATCAAATTAGGGCCTCCCCGGTGGCGCAGCAATTGAGCGCTGGGCTGCGAAGCTGCCCGCAGCCTCTGCAGCGCCGAATCAATCCCCAGCCACCGGGTGAGGGTCCCACATGGTGCGCAGACCTCTCCTGCCGCCCGCTGCTCCCCTCAGCAGTGTACTTCGGTCCTTCTGCCTGCTCTGCTCTTTGCTCTGACTCTGGTGAATTCTCTCACCCTCCCGTGCTTCTGACTGTACCCATTGCTTGCATGCATGCATAAATAAATTGTAAAAAATAATATAATATCAAATTAACTCTGTTTTCTGAAGACTGACTGTCTTTTGTCTTTGCTTTAGGCTTTCAGGATGAATCTGGAAAAACTCAGCAAGCCTGAGCTCCTAACACTCTTCAGTATTCTTGAAGGGGAGCTCGAAGCAAGGGACCTTGTTATCGAAGCTTTAAAGGTATTTTTAGGAAATAAAGATTGTTTGGGTAGTCTTTTCTTGGATTACTCTGAAATCATAACTGTGATTAAAAATAAAATCTAAACCTAGTAGATCTATATGCTGTTAAATTAATGTGACATTAATTGCTGTTTTGAGGCATACAGAAAAAGACTGACATTTCTGCCTCAGGGTAGTTTATCAATGAAAACTATTGCTTTTTTTTTGTTTTTCCTTTGTAGCTTGCACTGTCTGATAAGTAATTTCCATTGGTTTCATTTCTCCAGAGTGTGAGACATTTCACTTCCTATATGGGGGGGACGGAGTCTGGCTTATTTTCTTCCTTTTCCTGCTTTCCACCGTCTGGTCTTACATGGCTTCTCTCAGGATCGTTTGTTTATGTTTGACACATGCCTAGGCACTAATGTTAAAATTCACTACTTGAGTCTTTGCCTGTCATGCCACGAAGCATCACACTGACCTCGGTCAAGTCATTCAGCATGTCTGGAATAAAGCTTCCTTATCTCTAATAAGAATAAATGTTTAGTAACTAGCACTTGTGTTAACACTTCACAATTTGCATGGCATTGCAAATATGCCCAGCATCTTGCCCTTTATTTGTGTCCTATCAGTACATATCACGTCCAGTCATTGGTGGCTGTCATTTGAATGAATGTCTCTGGTGTGCCCTCCACAGTGTTTAATTTTGTAATGACTCTCCTGTCAGCAGATATTACAGTGTGCACTCTGGATGGTGACTCATTTCTGCCACATCCACAGACCTTCCCCTTTTGTTATTATTGATGGTTTCTCTTCCTTTCCCTGAGTGTTCTGAAAATTATTGTTTTCCATAACCCCATCCCACTATTACCAGCAGTCCTAACCTGTTTAAACTCGGGTCATTCTCTCATTTCTTATCCCACGTATATCTAATCAATGAAAAGAGAAGAAAAAGGATTGGGGAGAGTTTTAGCTCTCCCCTAATCCTCACTCCTAATGTTACTGGTTTCCCCACTTCATTGCCCTGTCCTCCTCTGAGACCTCTGACTCTCCTCTCCTTTGGGGCAATCAGCTTAGAACTGCCTAGGCTGAACCAAGAACTTTGTAGTGATTCCTTTTAGAACTCAGAAAACATTTTCCAGGAGTAGCAGCATTATCCGTAGCAATCAGATTTTATAAAACTACGATAGTTTGGCAATGTGTTAAGTAGACTCATCTGAGGATCTATCCCTATTTGCACAAGGACACCAGGAAGCAGCTTCCCATCAATATCACAGTTGACTTATCCAAACACTTAGAGACCTCAACCCACTCGTAGTTGGGCTAGGCACAGGGGATGACTGCCTCTCATGCAAAAGCCAAAGAGTGAATGACCCTTTTTTCACTTTGCTTTTCAGCCTTAGAAACCCTACAAGTCTGTAAAACTTTGTGTGTCTATTTTGCTAATCCTATCCTTAAGCACCCAGCAAAGTGCCTAGCATATAGCTGCTCAGTAAATATTTGAACAGATGAAATGAGTGTGTCATTGTGGTGTGTTGTTTTACAAGACTGCCATAATATTTCAAAGTGAATGTTGTAAATCATGAAATCTCACAGCCTGTTCTCGCGTGCTGCGCTTACTGCCGTCGGGTTTAATGGTAACAGATGCTTAGGTGCTGTTGCACATGTTTTCCTAAAATATTTTTTTTCTGCATGAATCCAATTTTAGTAACTTTAGGCAGTTTCTGACAAGTTGAAAGAGCAGCTTGAGATCAAGAGCTATAATTAAGAGAGCATTTTGATATAAGATACCCTTCAGAATCAGGCACAAGTGTTGTATTTAGTTTGCATACAGCCTGTAGGTGATAGTCATCTTCTGCGGCTTAAGCTAATATGCAGTTTAGGTGAAATGAATAGCTTCTCCAGAAGTGATACATCTTTAGACAGTCTATTGTTAGATAAAATAAGTAGCAGCTGGGATCAAAATTGTTTCACTCCTTGGAGAAAACCAACTGCTCTACCAGATCCTCAAAATTAAAATGAAATTTTGTTTTATCTGTGGAGTGGTTTTTTGTTTTTTCGTGTATTTGGTTTTTTTTTTTTTGTTGTTGTTGTTATTGTTGCTATCTTTGTTTTGGTTCTGTAGGATATCAAGATTTTCCTACAATATTTCTATAGCTCTATTGGGCTTCTTGGACTAATGTCACTGCCTGTTAATTTTCTTCCTTTTAGTTTACTTTTTTAAAATTCATGGGTAGTAGGCTGAAAAGGGTTTTTGGTCTTTGTCCTAAATAACTTTGTTTTTTCCTATCTGTTTAAGTGAAAAAAGCCTTATCTTTTTTCCTCCTTGCCTTCAAAATAGAATTTTTTTCTTAGTTATAAAATCTATTTCAACCTTGCATCTCTAAACAAAACCATATGGTTCGCTGTTGCTGCATATAAATAAATAAATATCACATTGGCAAGGATTGGGTCTGTATAGTGATATTTTATAAAGTCCTCATAGTCTGTAAGTAGATCCTACCTATGGAACTGTAATTATAAAAGAGCTTCATTCGTTTTCCAGAAGTTCTGCAAAGTGCCAGGTTACAATTGTACCCTTCTAGAGACCCCACAATTAGGTTCTTTTTCTCCCCAGTATATAAAAACCTCCTCATTCTTCTACTGCAGCCAAGATATGTTTGGCATGGAACCAGCAGAGCCAATAGAAAATAAATATAATACTCAGTCTTCTGATTATTTGAAGTCTAATTGTTATAGAAGCCATTTACACTGTCTTTGGTCCTAACTGTGTTATAGTGAAGATATTCTTTATGAAAGTCTTTCCCTTTGACCATTCTATTGTCGTGAATGAGAACACCACAGGAATCCCCTCTATAGAGAAAGTTACATTGCTCAGGAACTGTCCTGGGGGGGGTTAGGGTGGAACCACACAGTTCAAGAAGAGAGCCTCCTTACTTTCAAGCACATCAAGGAGATGGTTTTCTCTGATACACCAAAGGAAGATCAGGGAACCTTAATCAAAAGCCATTTTTTAAAAGTTGGAAAATAGACTTGATTGCTAGTAAAAGTTAGTTTATATTTGAGTCTTCCACATTGGATATATTCTGTCCACATGTCTTAGATCTGATGCAAAGTCACTTTTAGCTATGACTAAGAACTTACCCTGTATTTAATAGCATCATTTTATTTTAAAGCATTCTTTAAATTGCTTCTACAGTAATAAATGGTAAAATATTACAGTTTTCTTGTAGAATTAGCTTAAGGAGTCTTGAATTCCTTTTCACTGATGCCTTAACCATAAAACAGGTATAACTCTTTTAAAGTCTAGGATAGAATTTTGTTGATTTTGGCCAAAGGCCATTGCAGAATTCCCTAAGCAAAATTTGCAGACAAAAATGTTGAAGACAAGAGTAAGTTAGAAATATATTTAGCATATGAGACTGTAATATGTCACGGTATTCATTTAACTATTATGAATTTTTTAAGTAGTCAGGGTTAAAAATAAAAAAAGTCTAACCATTACATATGTCTGTGTTGAAACAATAAATGATTTACTTTTGCTAAAATATTCTTAAAATAATTGTAAGGGTCTTATGAATGCCAAATATAAAAAACAAAAGCGATCATGGAAGGAAGGTACTGTGGCACAAGAAAATCACAAGTACTAGTTCACTATAAGTCAAACTTGACGTCTGCTTTTGCTCATGTTTTTGTGCCTCTTAGGGAAGCAGATTATTATAAAGGCTGGTCTGAAATAAGGAAGATAAAATTCAATTTAGCAGTCACCATATGGCATCCTATACTAGGAAGCCTGTCAGGAGTGTTTACATTAAAAGACAAAAATCAGGTATTAACTTACTTAATAGATTGGTGAATATACTTAAATGGGCTCAAAGTTTAAGCATTCTTTGGCACCCACTAGTCTGAATCTAATAGTTCTTTGGCCAAAAATGATCCCATTTGGATAGGTTATTTTTAGGATAGAAGTAGGATCTTTGGTAAAGGTCACATGAACATAAGTTTGATTTCTGCCTGGATAAGAACTGGGATATTAGGAAGTAATCAGAGCCTTATTTGGGGAATTGAATTATAAGCTTTTTAGTTTTCCATTCAGGACATTTACTATGAAATATCTTCTAGAAGGAATTAATCAGTAGCCATTTTTAGCCATATTTTGCTGTGTTTTTTACAGCAAAAAATAGCTGGTTTTTATATTCCTATTTTCTGAGTAAATATAAGCCTACCTTTAAAAAAACAGAAAGATAGGGGGCCTCCCTGGTGGCGCAAGGGGTTAAGATGCAACCTATGAAGCTGTCCGCAGCCACTACAGCACAAGTTCGATCCCCAGCCAGCCAGGGAGCATCCCATATGGCACAGCAGACCTCTCCTGACTCGCCTGCTGCTCCCCTCAGCAGTGTACTTTGGTCATTCTGCCTGTTCTGTTCCTCACTCTGTCTCCGGTGAATCCTCTTACCACCCCCCCCCCACTCCTGTGGCCTGTACCCAAGCTCTTCTATGTATGCATAAATAAATAAATCTTTTAAAAAAAAAAAACAAAAAAACAGAAAGATAGGGCCTCCCCGGTGGCGCAGCAGTTGAGCACTGGGTTGCAAAGCTGCCCACCGGTTCAATCCCCGGCCGCAGGGTGAGGGTCCCGCATGGCACGCAGACCTCTCCTGCTGCCCACTGCTCCCCTCAGCAGTGTGCTTAATCAGTCTGCCTGTTCTGTTCCCCACTCTGGCTCTGGTGAATTCTCTCACCCTCCTGTGCTTCTGACTGTACCCAGTGCTTGTATAAATAAATAAATAAATCTTTAAAAAAAAATTAGAAAGATAATTACTAGGTAGTCTACAAAACTATTACTTAGAATATTCAATTAAGTGTAGCTGTTAGGAGAATGAATTTTCAAATCAGACCAACCTAGATTTGGACTCTCATGTATTGTTGCATGGTCTACGTTATCTGTAAAACAGTTTATTCTCTGTGCAGATTAAATGAAATAGCAAATGCTAATCAAGGTGTTCAGTGCTCTTTTTACT